GTAACGAAATTGATTCACGCGCAACTATCTCTCGCAACTTTCGACTTGGTAAGTTCTCGGGCGAGAAGTTCTTCTTTTAGTTCCGTCCGAGAAGCAGCAGCAGCAGCAGCCGCCATTTATTCGAGTAGACTTTCTTCGACGATTAATTAACGTCGCGAGTAAGAAATAGACCAGGGATGCTAAACAGGGACAGTTTCATTATTATAAAGGAATTATGCTTTAGCAATTGGCTTTTGCTTCGACAATCGATTTTCTGAATGCGAGCCACGCGTTTGGAGGTATATTCGGAGTAAATTCTGGAAACTACATGAAACTTTTGTTTCGCGTTTTTAATCTAAAGTCTCTACTTTGCGCAGTCGCTTCTGTTATCGGTTCGTTGTTGGAATGAATGGTTTATCGATTAATTTGCTCTTCTCGCACGTTGTACGTGAAAGCAAGTAATTTGCTTCTACGGCGATGTAATTATCGTTTATTTTGAGAGGCTTACTTCAATACTCCGGGGAAATATTCCTCGTTAAATTTATTTGGTGTATAACCTTTCAAGGTAGGAAGATATTTGACAACAAACCAAAGTACCAGGTGTTTCGCGCACGACTAAACCACAAGCCGTCAGTACGACCAATTAAACGAGGCTCTAATAATTTAACCACATGTCGTTGCCCTGCCCAGATTTAGCCGTGATAACGCTATAGCATTCGACCTCTTCTATGCAATCAACTCGGTGGCCACAGTGAGGGTGTCCGGTTGGTTGCCATTGGCCACCGATCCCAAGGGACATTTTATGCTAACGTTATGGCATACTAATAATAACTTGCTGTCACATTTTAGGAATCTTAATAATCACACGTGCTGGCTGACTCACGCGAAATTAGCGAACACGTAACACATTTTCGGACGCATAAAGTCGTGTCAAGATAAAAGTATAATTATTTGATAGAAGCGAAAGTATAATTACTTCGTAATATAGTTACCCTAGTATAGTTGTGTAACACTTACTTTCACCCTAATAGTCTATATATAGGTTTTTTTTGTCTTTGGATTTTGGTTTAGAATATCTTATTTGCTGGTTTTAGCCGGGACAACGAATTTCTATAGAAAAGATTTGAGCAATAAAATCGACGATCTTCTTTAAACGCATCGAAGGATTAATCAATTTGGTTTGCTTGACGAACAGTAAGACCTATGAATACTCTGTCGACATTGCCAAGCTTAGCGATAGTCCTTCAATAAGCGTCCATTCGATTAATCAGTGTCTCCTCGGGTCGATAGTACAGAATTGAGGAGATTAAAGTGATCCTCAAAATCGATGGTATTCTGCATAATACCGTAGACAAGATATAGCGTAGATCTAATTGCATTTTTGTGTCGCAGGATTTCGAGATTTTCACGGCCATTTATTGGCTTTGCATTGTCTCGTAGCTTTCATCGTTAACGTATTTGAAAATAATTTGAAAATAAATCGTCCGTTAACATTCTTTCACATTACAGCGTTGTGTATTATTTTCATCGCGGTCTGAAGTATCTTTAGAAATACGTGATAATTTTCACGTGTACAATGCATGAAATTACTTAAAATTATGACCAAATAAATCAGTGTTTTATTATAAATGCATATTCATGTAAATGTTACAGAAGCTTTTATAGATTTCCAGTCTAGAAGTAAATTCGGCTACTTGAAACATGCATTAGAGAAGTTTTTGATTTAGTACGTAGTTCTTAGCTTGGTATTGCTTTCCAAAGAGTAATTTTTAGAAAATAATACCAATTTCCAAGACCCACCACGAGGAGGTGACTACGTTCGGGTCTCGTTTATAATTTAAATTTTTTCTAGGAATAGAATGCAATAAGATAAAATAAATCGCTTACTTAACGTTTGATAGCTATTAGATTTCTTATTTACGTCTCTAAGTTGATTCGATTAAATCCACGGTAAATGCGGAAGGGTTGATGTATAATTTTAGTAAATAATAATTGGCAAATTTATCGCGAGTGTGTCCAATCCTGTTTGTTATAACGTTTCGTTGGATTAATTGTAAGGAAAATACATTTAGCGTAATACGGTCGAAATGTTAGTTAATTCGTTATTTTCATTTGCGTTCGTGGCTACTTTTTCGCTTATTTCTTTCGCGTTTCTATGGATATTCTGTTTCAGACATACGTTTCATTGGTGTGCACACTCAAAGAGCAGAGTGTTATTCTAGTAACGAGTACATACATTCTTTTCTCTTGGTTTATGCGATAGCGACGCGTACGAAAACTATTTTATGGCATCCTAGCTGGATTCTTGTAGAATTCTGTAACTGTACATTTTCATACAGCGCCCGTCTCTTTTCCTCCTTTTTTCCCCCATCTTTTTCCCTTTGCTCAAACGAATACCTACATCTGGTTGGAGTTTGGTAGGGTCCTGGTGCGGCTTTATATTTTGCTCTCTTCACGCGTGACGTCATCACCGGAATACGTGAGTCGCTTTACGAATGGCAGGACAACACGTAAAACCGTGGAAGCCGTGGAAACCGTGGCATCAACGAGCGTAACGAGAACTACCCTACTAAGCCACGAAGGGATTTCATTCCGAAAGGAAACGTCTAAGGGGAGATTTACCCAGTTACGAATAAATTTTTCGAGCCGACGGAAACCGGCATTTACTCTTTGCATTGACTTCGGGGAAATTCAATCTGGTATCGGTGAATTAATGTTATAAGAGGAAAAAGACAAGAGGAAGATACTATCCTAAAGAAAGAACGCTGTGTTCGCGACGATGGTTAGAGAACGATGATGAAACTTGTACAAGAGCTCGTTGAGAAATAAGGTAGATCGTATCTCTTTCCCCTGCTACAGGATCAATCGAAGGTACGTGCTTAAAGCCGTGGGTTAGCTTGTATGGAAGTTGACGAACGAAGATAGAGGCGGGAAAACTTAAGAAAATGAATGGGTTTTAATATCGCGAGCTTTGCGAAACTAGGAAGTTGTAGTTGGACAGAAAATGCAGACTCGCTAAGCTTTACAGATTGTGGGTTCAAGACTCGGTCGAGTAAATCATGGCATCCTATGTCCGTCAGTTCGTACTTTAAGACATGCTAGGACGCAGCTGCCTCGTTACTCTGCCGGATCGTCCCGAGGGATTAGCGATACTTCAATAAACTCTACTACGCTCACCGCCATCGCTCCGACCAGTAGTCTATGGCGTGTGTGCATAAGCAGAGAGGAGATGGTATTTTTTTTCTAGTCCCTTTTACGGCGGTCGTACGATTTCGCCCGGTGTAGAGTATTTTAAATAGAATGTGTTTTAGAACAAAGAATACTTTTTAGCTAGCGCTAGGTTAGCATCGGGCTCTCGTTTGCTTGTTTATGTGTTTGCGACTGAACCAAACTTACGTTTTTCCTTGAAAATATTCGACGAAATATTCGAAGGACTTGAGAATTGTCTGTTCGTGCCCTTTGCCTGCAGACAAGAAAAAGCGTCGAAAGAAGAGTCAAGTCTGGTGCTAAGTAGTGAAGATCGTGCATTCTACAAACGAAACTAATATTCAGCGTGCTAGGTTGATAAAAAAGACTGTATAGGAGAGAAAGAGAAAGAAGAAAGAAAGAGTGCAATTGGAAGACAATACCGAACAGTTTCTGGAAAATCTTGAATAACTGCAGTTTCCTGTGCCGTAGGTTTATTGCATTGTTTTATTACTCAAACTCTCTATAGGTAAAAAGAGTCGGAATATTTGAAGGATCTTCGATCCTTGCTTTTTTTCTTCGTTACTTGAGTAGTCTACTGTAGTTCCACCTAATTTATGGTTTTAAAGTTAACTCGCTCTAAACTTACTCTGGTTAATGGTTTGTCTTTTCTGCTCGATCCTTTCATCTAGCAATTTTTCTTCCATATTTCGTTACGAGAGTAGCAAAGGAAATAAAACTAGTTTCATCGTTATCGTACTCTCTTACATAGTTGTCGTGTGTAATATCGTAAATTTATGTATTATGTATACGTGGGCACACTTACAGAATGAAATTTTGACTATTATTTCGTCGAAATTCAAAGACCTCTGTCTTTTTTTAATCAAGGTCCGCTTGTTTGTAAGAATCGAAGCTTTCTATACATCTGTCTCTATTTGTTCACCTTGCACGATGTTTCCCGCTTTTCTTGTCTCTGGGGATCTACGTGGATTTAGTATGATTGACGGCGAGGATTAACCAAATTAACGTACACCACAGATTATTAAATTCTCCGAAGGTTTGGGAAATGTAGGAAAAAGCAAGATGGGGTCTCGCAGTTGGATGAAGTTTTTGGAAGTGTAAGAGTATAATAGAGGATCGTGCGTGTAACGATCAACGTAGTCGATCGTTTCTTTCGCAAAACTATCGCGAACGTTAATCGCGTGTTTTTCGTGAAAAGTTGTATCGATATTTCCTGTTATTTTGCAAAGAATAACTTAATAGCAACGTGTGCTGTACTCTCTTTTTAACTGCGAAATTAGGATTCTGGGAATTTGGAAACAGAGAGCAGATAGTTGCTCAAAGCCAGGTAGATGTTTGACCTGCAGGCAGGTACGATCAACAGAACCCGCAGTTTACATAGGTGTGTAACATTAGCCGACTCTGAGTAAATATGCATGCTTGCAGCACACCTGATTGAGTTACTCTATAAAGTCTAGATACTCGCATGACGTGTGTCAGCGCAGACGAAACTCTAAAGACTGAACATTGATTGTTCTCTATCTGGAAATTAAATCATGGTTACCGACGATTTCTTACTAACATTCGTCGTCGTTAATACTAACGATCTATCGATAGAACGATCAATGCATGTATATCGCCGTTGATTCATTTTCCTCTCACAAAACGTCAAACAACCACCTTTGAATTTAGACGTTTCGTTCGTTTCGTATTCCTCTTGTACGTTTCAACTCAACGAAAGCAACGGCATTTGACGTTGAATTGTTACGTACGCTTGGTAAACACAAGGTCGTTATCAACACTGAGAGCTAAGTCTCGTTAACCATTCCTAACAGGCGAATACGAAGCATCCTAGCATTGGATTTGATGCCTTGTTCGAGAATCTCTATTACCTACGTGATGTCTGGAGACATTTGCTAACCCGTGCGATACACAGTCAGATAACACGCGAACGAGAGGTTCGCTCGAAGGAATGGCGGAAGGACGTCGGGGGCAATGCTACCAAATGTTTCACAATGTACGCCGACCCATGTATGTACCAATTTAGTACGCACATACACGTTTATCTGCTTCTCTCGTTCGCGTCTTCTACTGCTACATTATTTATGATTAGACGTTTCTCATTATCGTCGTACTATTTCGGTGAATATATATATATCTCTCTCTCTCTCTTTCTTCCTTGTTTTATCTGCTAAAAAACGCAATACCCGAATGCGAGATCGAATAACTCTATTAAAAATCGTTAATAGCTTAACGAAAATTTCTACTGCGAGACGATCTGTATGTAGTCTACATATATGTTCGTTAATGAATCGACGAATTCCATTTTTAACACAGAGGAATTTTATAAAAGATTCAAATCCATTTAAATTTCGTATTACACGTTTCGGTAATCTTGTGCTATAATTTTACAACGCAGTACTTTATAATGTAATATTTTACAACGTTTGATTCTTTTTTCCACTCTGTCCAGTAGGAATTATTTCTTGTTAGTTTCTTTGTACACTATGTAGTAAAATATTTTATTATATATCGGAACTGGGATGCGATATCTTTCAATGATTGAAATGTAAGTTGCAAATACGAGGGGAACGTAGGATTACAGGATCACATAATACGCTGAGAGTTTATTAGGCGCCCTGCTGCGATCTTTATTAGTCTTCTCTATTTCCTTCATAAACGGAGCTGTGCGTGCACCGATATTTGAATTTGTGCACCATACGTATAGCTAGACAGGAACCCGCAGCGTACATCAAAGTTCAGACACCTAAAGCGTGTTCATTTCTCACTATGGAAGTTTGCGTCCGTGACAAGAAGAGCCATGGGTTCATTGTTAATCGCGCGAATATGAGCCGAAGGATTTTGTTTCGAGCGTTCAAATATGTAGAACGCTTTTATTTAATCAAAATATTTTCTTGTTAAAAAATCTCGTAATTTTACTTGATTAACGCACGTGATCGTACAAAAAAAGAGACAAACGTGATATTATCGTGATACATTAACGTGATATTTCCTACTCAGATTATACCGAGACTGTCTCGTGAGATCTGAAAGTTTCGATGTTATGACTTATGGTACAATAAGGGAAACTGTAAGACACGAAGCTACTATTTTGGTTTATAAGTAGACTATGAGTGCACAGAGAATAGGTAAAAGCGAGGCCATTACTAAATCATGATGCTTTTATCCAACATCTTCGTCACTTGTGCGTTCCGGTTCTATTTTCCTTCTATTTGCTTCCTTCGCGCGTTCTTAGAGCCTCGTGTCTGTTATCCAGTATCGAAGAAGTGGAAAAGGAGAAGGTGATAGTCGTATTCCTAGTTCTTCGAGGCAGCTTCTCTCTCGTAGCATCCTTCTTCGCGTTTTCCTTTTCTCGTGTATCGAGTTTCGTAGTATGTGCCACGCCGTAGACACGTTTACGTTCAATGTATCGATATCAGTTGCTCGTAGAATGAGGCGAGAGGGCAAAGAGGCCACCTCTATCTTTAGAATCAGGTCAGAGTGGATTGCAAAATTGAAATTGTTTGGCGTCGCGACGTTCTCGATTAGGTCCCAGTTAATCTAACTTTTATGTTTTCACGATCAATAACAATTTCCCGAACATCGGTATAATTCTTAATTTCGTTGATATATAAAACTTAGCGCGAACCTCGTTAACGGCTGAATAAAACTGTCATCTTAATGGAAATATTCTATTTCCAAATATCAGTGGAGTAATAAATAGAAAATGTAGCGAGTGCTCTAGCGAAAGTACGTACTTTGAAATGCGAATGATTCGGTAGCCTGGTTCAATTATTCGGTTTAAAGCACGAAAAGTAAGTTAGACACGGAATAAAATGCTGTGGGAGCGTAGCTCGGATAATGGCTCCGTGGTAGTTTAGAGAAAAGCGATGGAAACTGCGAAAGTATGTTTTTCTTTTATTTCCGTTACGACGCGGTGACAGTGCAGCGGCAAAATAGCCGCCTTCGGCAATCGCACGATAAACACTAGCCCATTCTTCCTTCTCTTATCTCTTTCTTTTCTTCTGTTTCTTGCTTTCGCTTTTCCTTGTTCATTTGGCTTCTCCGCGAACGGAAGACCGGACAAAGTTGCAGTTTTTTGTCTGAAAGTACAGGATTCGAGCAATAATGATTGAAATATTTGTTATTCCGTTTCGAATGTACATTTCATCGATGGTAAATTAGAATTGCAAGGAAATTGGCTGGTATAATCAACAGGGGGGGG